AGTGACTTTCATAACAGGGTCTTACTGCCTGACGGTCGTCGAAAAAAACTACTGGAAAGAGTTCCTCTCCGAAAAATTCAATTGAAAATAATGGGCACTAATAGGCGTGGAAGGGGACTGTACGCTTTTTCACTGCCTTCTTTGTCTTTTTTCGTCTTCTCACACCGTGTCTCAGCCTGCAAGTCCTGTACAGTCCTGTCAAGTACCCTCTCAATTCCTGTCAAGCTTGGCGAAATAGCACCAGCGCCATTCATTTGACCAGTTATTTTGACAAGTTTGACGGAGTTTACAGGGTGCTTTACAGGTGATAACAAGGCTTACAGGCGCTTATAGGTGTGCCCCCACCAAGGTAATTGCACCGACTTGAATTTTGGATGATCTTCAGATTCTTTGTGAGGAGTAGTACTACCGTACCCCCTTGCACTTTCGAATCTCTCCTCTGAAAAAGAGCAAAAAAAACATACTCACATCAGCAAATTCCTTCGCTATCAATTTCGGGGATGCAATTCGTTCGACCGTTACTGGACATCCCTAAGGAGGAGAAAATTAGCGGAATGATCGTTTTATCAACAAAAATGAAGGGTAACAAGTTGATAGTAAGGAAAAATTAGATGCTGAGGATAATCAGTTCTACAGTCTCACTTCTTTTGGTTTTCCTTCCGCATCTCGCTGCTTTCGTAGTCTCGGGTAATAAGGCCAGCATTGATGGTCCCAGCTCATCAAACCAGTCTTGTCGTATCTACAGCCGCAGCGGCAGATAGTGTTGTGGGCTGATTCACTCGGTACCGCGTATGAAGAACTTAGCTAGATTGAATAGGACAGACAAATTGTTATCTCTTGCTGTCAATCCCTTGCCATTAAGCCTCTAAACCTCATAAAGCTCGATCAAAATTCGAGGGGCGAGGTCGAGGTCGTGATTGAACTATATAAAAACTGGAAAAGCTTTCTCGAAAGTAGAACAACTTAGGCGCGCAGGTTGATCGCTTTCCATGAAATATTTCAAGTTTCAAACTGCATTCAAATACGGCTACAATTTTGAGTCAAAATTGTGGCCGTATTTGCTAGCCTTCTACGGAGTGCACCTTGCCCGAGACTTCCAGTCAACCAATTTTTTGGCCTTTTGTTTTAGAAGGGTCTGATCCAGCATTGAATGGTTGGGGGATATTTCGCACATTCCGTATTCTCACTCTCATCGTCGTGTTCACCAGGGCACATCGTTGTTGGGGAATCCCCAATAGGGGGGTCGTATTTGGTCGCCAGGAGGGGGGGGGGTCGTATTTGGGCTGAGAAAAATTTATTTTGATAGTTGATTTTTCTCGCTTCACGGACGTTGTAAAGGGGGGGGGAGGGGTCGTATTTACTTTTTGGCCTTCTGGGAGTGGTGGTTGACTTTTCGTGATTTTCCTGTTTCATGTGTACTATATACCCTTCCCCCTCTCCTCCCCTCCTCCCCCGCTCGACAGGAAAATTTTAGGGTAGAAGTAGGGAAATTCTCGGGAAATTTCAGTAAAAGTAGGAATAAGTTGGTCTAGGAATTGATAAAATAAAGGGGGGGGGGTCGTTGTCCTTGCCGCTTTTCGCTTTTCCTGCTTCATATGTGCTTTTACCCCTTCCCCGTTCGACGGCTCTATCAAAGGAGGAACCATGGGGGGGGGCGTACCAACAACCCCAAAAAAAGGGGGGGGGTCGTACGAACTCGACCAAAATCCCCAACCAATGCTGTGCCCTGGTGTTCACTGCTTTATGAGACTTGACAGGTGTTTTTTTGCGAGAGTAAAAAGCAGTTTCATTTCTGACTGGTATCACTTCATGGCTTCACAAATTTCCATAAATCTCTACGTGTTGGCACAGCACGACAATAGGAAGCAGCGAAGGTGCGATTGCCCGCACTCCCGAACGAGAGCGTCCCTTAAGTTCAATGAACTTACGTAGAGAACTCTAGAGCATGTACACTGAATTCGGAGCAGGTCCTCGTTTGGCAGCAGGTTGTACTTATCAACAAAATCTGAAAAATTGTTGTCAACCGGCTTCTTTATTATGGGAGCTTTCGAATATGGACGACTGGCAAAAATCCGCAACGGATTAAAGATTGAAAGAATAAATTTCGAAAAGCGTCCGCTTTCAGTGCAGAGGCTATTTTCAGAGGAATGGAGTGAGGGCCTCCCGCAGTCGTTTACAGGCACTGGGTTCTTTTCTTCCTCAATCGATCAAAACCCTGCTTATCACTGGTGGAGGGCAAGGGCGGCGGAGGACGGGCTCAGCTCCGCCTACTGACCACCGCCGCCGAATGGAATTCGATCATCTACACTTCTAAAAAATAGTGGCGTACTAATGCTGTGCTGGTCCTTAAGTTGGAAACCAGTCACAGTCCTCATCATCTACGGATCTTGTCGAGGCGCACAGCGCGCTGCCGTAGTCTGTGACGCGAGCAGGGCTGCTCCTCGGTTGACGTGATCGGCTGATGTTTGATGCAAGAAACTCAACCAACGAACAAAAAACCACATTGCAAATCTACACTAACTCTTCTATCCCTCCCAGACCTTCCTATCAGTTCATAAACGTAAGAGAAGGTAAGATTAATTCTTAACATTTGTATAGACTGGCCTGAAGTTTTCTTTTATTTTTTAACGTCGATTTTATGCTCTTTTTTACTGTATTTTGCCTTATTTCAGGCTTTATTCAACGGCGTTTGCCACTTTTTCAGCATTCATGCAGAGTCAGTAAATCGTTAAAATTGCTCGATAATAATCCCTTCCAGCTTTCGCAAGCTCCAAGAGTTGAAAAAGTGGGAATTCGCAGCCGAATTCCATGGAAATCAGCTGATTCGCCGTCACCGAGCCGCAGCCGCTGTCGCGTCACATTGCAGCGCGGCTGTGCGCCCTGACAGCCCGTAATGATTGAGAGACTAGTACAAGGTCGAAAAAGCACGACATAGATCTATGTACAAAAGGCATAAGTATAAAAGGCGCTCACACGTGCTGGTCCCATTTAGACATAAAAACAATTAGCCTAAAACCACCGAGCACATTACTAAACAAAGAGCAGGTTATCAAGGAAACACCAGTGAGGTTCCAGAGCATCATAAAATATACGAACCAACAATAGGGATCCACCGCATAACACCAAATCGGGGCAGAATACAGCTGTCAGATTCGCCCCACCGACTCGACACACAAATGGAAAGGAATTGAAAAAACGGGACACCCAACACGCAAAGCGGAATTCCGCTCAAAAAAAAATCAAAAAGATCAAGCAAGTGCAATAAACACTGACAGTGACAAAGCGGGTGAGTCCACATCCAAAAACATCGGGGGCACTTTAACAGCCACGAGATGCCGGGATAACGAAGCGCGGCCGATAGTGTGAATTGAAACCTCTGCAATAAAGCACTTTGTTTTGTGCAGATCTCTGGGTGAATTCAGGTTCTGAGGAGATAGTTCAACCTTTATCAGTTCTGAAATCAACGGCGCTGGCAGGACTGCATAGAGTAGATCGATGCTTGTCACATTCTCGGTAGACTTGAGCTGAAAAGGTTGATAAACTGATTGCAATTCTTATCTTTTGAATACTGACTACCTATTCCGATTATTATTTGTTTCAGCAAAAGTAGTATTGTCTGGTGGATCATAGTCTGGCTGCGGAGAAAGGGGCCGTCAGGCGGGATGAGTTTGGCGCCGCGCCAAATCCGTTCTCGACCAGTTGTTAAAGCAAGCAATTGACAGGACTGTATCGTATCCCTCGTTTTCCGCCAGCTGTTGTCGCTTATCTGGTTGAACAACTGGTGGAGAACGGGTCGGTGGAGCGCCAAACCCAGCTTCAGTGACACGCCCCATGATGAGCAGCGAACAATACTGTAAGGACCTAATTCTTGAGAAACCCTATCTCCCACATCATGTGTGTCTCCCCGAAAAAAGGGAAGGCGAGTCCTTACCGGAACATCCACTGGAGCACGATCGAGGCGTAGTTGGTGCACCAAATTGGAAGTTATGCAATCTCTGCAGGCCATTCCAGCATTCGTTGCAAAAAGGTCCAGTTGTTTTGATGGTGAACAGCGGCAGCAAACAGAAGGATGGTGCTAGAAAAAGGTAAGAGGTCGCTTAGTTTGGAAGTTAAAAACCTTTAGTTGAGCTTTGAAGACAAGCTTATTGTCTGTATTTGCTCTTAAATTGGTATTCTTGTCATAATACTCCCACCTCAAAGTACCGTGATAAACGGGAACCATCACAAAAATTCATCAAAATTGTTTTCAAAAATTTGCTCACCTCACTCTCATCCCTTAGGCGTTGATCTGTTGCTCTCTCAACTTCCCTGAGAAACTGCAACCTATCGTACTCGTGGCAGCGATCGCTCTGAAAATGTAGACATGGGCTGAAAATTTGGAAGGGTTACCGCAGTAATAATGGGAGAACAACTGAGCAGTGGCACAGTTTGAAATACACACTAAACAAAAAACTACCAAGTATCCTGAGTGCGTGTACCCCCGAAGCATAAAGTATGGGGCATTCCGATGCAGATTGCATCTGTATGCTGCACCTTGGCAATAAGCAATAGAAGCCCATATCAGAGGGCAAAAAGGGGCGTTCCCCGGTACGTCGTTGCGAGATCGGTAACGGTTTCGTGATGACGCCCTCCTCTTTTCAAGCGCATAACTTTGCCTCTCTTCCGTATGGACCTCCGCGCGTGATTACTTGAAACGGACGGACCCGTTTTTTGGCCCATAGATTATGGGCGCGTAGGCTCAATAAAGAGAGGCCAACCACGTGCTAGCGTCATATATTGGTGATCCCCAGCAAGTGGCCCACCCGATGGCTCGATGGCAGCTTTATGGGAAACTTAAGAAAAGGGGTCGGAAGTCGGGGAAGGGGGGGGGGGCAAAACAGGAGAGGAAGTTCGGATCGTATTTTCTAAAAATTTCCCCCAACAACAAGATGTGCCCAACTCGGGAAGGTGACTGGGAAAACACACGGCACTAATGGTAAGCTCCAAAGGAAAGGTGAAAACTTACCTTTTCTGCCAGCAATTGACTGTTGACTTCTGGGGCAAAGTAGCTCGGATTATCGGAGCAGCGAGTCTTTTCCTTGCGAATATCGCGTTCTCTGAAAAGGAATGTGAATGGGAGGATAAAAGACAATGGGAAGGGTCCTCTACAATCCATGAACGATTTAATCACTTACTTCAATCTTAGCGATCGTACAGTATCTGTAATGAGCTGGAAAAGAGACATAAAGTCCTTTTGACGTTTAGCACTGTGAAGGAAAGCTTCGCGATCCATGGCTCCCAAATATCGAGCATTCGCATTGATTCGGATCCTGAAAACCCAATTTGTCGAGAAGTTCTACTGGACCACAGCTAAAATACTGTGGAGGACGAAAAAAAAAACAAAAAATGCTTCAGAACCCCGTCCACGAATTTTAACCAAGAACTGGGTACCTGAGTATGCGGGCATCATCTCGTAGCTCCATGAAGAGGATGAGCAACGGCTTCCTTATAGGTTCGTCACCACTGAGACGGACCTGATAGGTGACATCAACCATGACTCGGTCCGAATCGATCCATCGAACAACAACACGCTTGTCTTCCAGGAGAGAAATCTGAAAAATGGGGCATGTGGAAGGTCAGGAAATACGAGAACAGTTAGGGAGGGTTAGGAGATCCGACGCGCGGTGGCCTAGTTTCACGTCGTCGCAATTCAGATCTACTGGTTCACAGGACCGCCAATGAAGGAAAAGTTACCATTTCACGGAAATCAAAGTTCTGAAGTGTACGCGTTTGAATATCAATGACTTCGAACATTGAACTTGCGTGGGTCACTGCCGAGATGTCGACGAGATCAGCAGGTTTTGGCTGAACGTTCTGAAAGGCTATGTTCTGCACATGTTACTGCTAACCCACTTTTTTCCACTGACCTTCGCTGAACACTCTGGCTTCGCATCGATAAAACTCCAGCTGCTCGATTGTCTCGTGCGTTCAGTGCTCTTCGGAGGCGAAGAACTAGTTAGAAAGTCTCCCAGTGTCAAGGAGGTCCTGCAATGAATAAAGTACTCTTCAGGGACTGGGTACAGTCCCGCATGCGCTGGGGCGTTTTGGAGGGGGGCTGGGTTTGGCGCGGGACAGCCTGTTTTCCATCAAAAAAAATGGCAGGCGACGGCCAACTGATGGGGAAAGGCTGGTGCAGCGACACCGAGGCTGGGTGCAACAACACAGGTCCCACCCTACCCCCCCCTCATTGCACAGTCCGAAACGCCTCAGCGTTGTGCAGACAACAGGACTGTAGCCTGCAGATAAAGGAGTTCGTTCATTTCATACAAGTAGGATAGTCTGTCTGAAAGGACTTCGATTAGACCTATGAGGAATCGCAATTGGTCAAGAGTGCGGCATATTCTTAGAAAACTCCCATTGTTTCTGGCAGGCCAATGAATCTCTTCAATCACGCATGCGCTTGCGTTCTTGCAAGGTCCTGTCTCTAGGGCTAAGCCTGCAGAAATAACTATGAGTTGTAGCTAAGCGTCGGAAAAACCTAATGCGGCATATTGGGTGTAGGTTGTTATCCACAAACGGGGAGCAGTCCGTCCAGAGGGGTCCGGTCCATAGGAGGGGGGATTTGCATTTTGTCGGACGGAAGTCGGTCTCAGTATCTGGTCCTGGCTGAGAACGTTGTCCCTCAGAATTTTTCTTACGGAGCTCCAGGTGCAGGCGCGTTTCAATGTCTCGAGTGCAGCACTATTTCCATTGTTGGCTAGTAATTCTAACATGGATCGTAATATGAGCTCCCATCTCCTGTCAGCGGGCATCTTTTCGGAGACAATGCAAAACTGTAAAGGCAGCCGCCCGGCATATCAAATTCGAGAGTAATGAAGCGGCTCACGGGTAGTAATAGCAAGGTAGCAAGAAACCTATTAGTGAAGAAAAATCAAAAAGAAAACATGCAAAATGCCCTATAAGGAGTTTCATACCGAATAGCGGTTGTACGTGCTTAAGGCGAAGAGAAGGAGTGGTTGCACGAGTTCTCACTTGTTGATTTCAGCTGTTTCCCCTTATCACCTCACTCTCACCACACGACGTGGAGAGAAGCAGCAATGGAACAACCGCACCATCAGGCAACCATTAGAAATGAAGTTGGGCGTCGTCGTCGGCAGGTGGGCGGGGCGGTCGGCTCTTTACTAGCAATAGGCGCTATCCTCTCGTCTTTGTGAGATGCAAAACTAGTACATACTGCATCTGCATTCCTTATGGGGAGGGCTATGATACCCAGAAAGGGCGTACGGAGGCATAAAGTGAACGTTGGCTGCCTGCCCTTCAAGGAAATATGGGGATACAGTGGTAGGAAGCTAGGAAAACTCAGAAAAGCAGATAGGTAGGAAAGTTGCCATGCCGAAGGGGATGAAATCGGGTTGGAGGGCAACCTGGATTTTTAATGGCACTCAACCCGATGCTGTAGCCCCGCCACTCCGAGCGCGCATAAAAAGAATCATGCCCGTGGAGTCACGCGCGATATTCGCATGAAAACTTCATGATTCCAGTCTCGGAATGGTACTCGAGTCCACTTACTTAGGGAATACCAACGCTAGTTTCAACGTCTCTGCTGGCTCCTTGATGACCAAATCGCTTAATCGTACTAATGATTTGGGATGTAGTATGAGGGAGGGCCCTATCGCGCGGTTCCTAGGGCACGGTGAAAAGCGCAGAAGCTGAGCCGGCGTTCTAGGGTACGCGTGAAAGCGAAGGCAAACCTTTGGCGGTTCTGTTAAGGACTCAAGGTAATCTATTTCAGCTGTGATTACCTTGGACTACTTCAGCCACCTCGAGTTCTTCTTCGTCTTCGTCGTAGCAGCAGCTCTCATCCGACAGGTCAGAGCTGTGGTCCGCTTGCCGAGATTTTGTTGTCCAAGACCCCTTTTTATTATCTGAATTGGCTGATTTTAGGCAGATGTTGATTGCTCAAACAGCTGAAAAAGAATATTTGTAGGCAACTGCTAATAGTCCCGAATAAGACCAACTTCGCTGAGTTTTTCCGGCGAGAATTTTGAGAACAGGGTGAGGCTCGACGATGTTGATGAGAATTTTTGCCGGTTCAACTTCGTCCTTTTCCAGGTTTCGCCGTTCCCGCAATGCTGCTTGGAAGTGGGAAAGCTGGAAAATGGGATTCACTTTTCAAAAAACAACTTAAACAGTGACGATTGGAAAACAGGCTGCTAGATGGTGCAGTTCGGCTTGGTGGGGGCACTTGGCAGGTTGCCAGAGACTGCCACCGATGTCTACTAGGAGAATTACAGATTTCTATGAAGCTATTCCATAACAAGGGCTTGTTTTTTTACTTTACAAGGTGTCGACAAGGTGAAACGTGAATTTAACAGGTACAATTAAAAAAACGGAAGTTGAACATGCCCCCTCCAAGCCGAACAGCGCCTTCTTTATTAGCACAGCTCACTTTTTGTCCTTTTCCTTTCGTGGAAATCGTGTTGACCGTCCCATTTTCCTCCACGTGCACGCCTGTGACGTTAAGGGCTTCGATATCAGCGAGACCTGCAAGTGCATTAAAATTTTTAACGTCATGGAGGTCCCTTGATGAATCCTGCTAAGCGCACTAAAAATATGGGAAAAATAGTTAGTAACTCACGACGAGGGGTGATGACTCGATTTGCTACGAGAACCTCAAGATCGGAGTGACGGTTGCTCTCCAGCAAGGTTGGAACGCTTGAGCTGAAAAATCAGAGAGTCGTCAAAATGGACCAGGCCAAAGGGTCATGCATGATATCGTCGCAGTCCAGGCCCGGCTGCGTTTTCTACCAATGTGGTCGGTTCATGGAAGAAAAGAACCAATGGGAGAAAGCGACGCGTGGGTTCATTCCATGCCTCCACAACGACCCACCAGAATGTGACGATAAACTGTGCATAATGCGGCCTGGAGATTTCTCAAAGAGGTCAGATTCTCCCAGCTGATGCTTTTCCCCAAAGTTGGGACGCTTCCCACCCTGACGCTGTCGAACGGCTAAGCCTAACTACCAAATAGACAACGTTGGCTAGTACTTACAGTTTTCCATCGCTGGTGCTTATTTAGCGAATACTGAACATCCGAATGAAGATCGTTACAGCTTTCTTCTTTTTGCAGACGCTTTTTAGCTCTCTGAAAAACTTGCCCTACATATAGGCTCCTTCACCTATAAGGCCCTAGCTGTGCTCAGCACCAATAGGTTCCACTCACATTGCTCAGTGTATTAGCAGGATCGAGAAGCGTCTTGGACACGATCACCTGATCGGCCAGTTTCTTCTGGAGGAGGGCGTCACCTCGGCGCCGTCGTCGACGGAACTGTCCAGAGTTCTTGGCCAAGTCGTGAAGTCTGAAACATTTCATCTTCTTGAGGGATACACTCGTAATAGCTGGATTTAGAGAGCTTACGCATAGATATTCTCTTGCTCTTCGTAATACGACATTCTTGTAGACGTCTCTGAAAACAAATTCGGTATAGTAATGCCGCCTCCTAATAGTTAGCACCTTCTTTTCAACGAAAGCAACTGGCAGGGTTGAAACAATTCGACGAAAGGTCAAGGATAGCGAGAAAATACTGAACTGGTTACTTAGGAACAGTACTGAGCGCCTTTCCCGGGAAAATCCAGAAAAGTCGGAAGTTCCAAAAATGTCTGTGCAGGATGGTAGGTACACCGCTTTCACTGATGGAGGAGATATCAACTGTGATATTACACCAGGTCTTTGATGAAACCCTTGCCCTTCATAAGCCCTTCTGCGTTAAATCACGCCCCTCTTAATCAAGTACGACTCTATCTACAACGACATGGAAGAAACATCGCCGCTGAAGACTTGCCTACCATGGCGTGAGTGCCCCTCCCCAAGTTATTTCTTGATGCTTTATCGTTTTCGGGAATCACTGGTCGCGGGTGGCGGTTGTTATGAAAACAGCCGCAATCAGTTCTCGCTAAAATTTGACAAACAGAACCTCTTTGTTAAAAGGAGGACAATGTAGACTATCGGTTCGTAGACGGCCCATTTAACATTTTCCAAACGACATCATTAAGCATTAAAAAAAACTGGCAATTAGGAGCCCGTTTCAACAGCGGGCGCCCTCCAGTAGAGATACTTTCAAGAACTCTTCGGGTAGGTCTGATGGGCGTATTTTGCTAGTTCTCATTCAATGTCGCACTTGAGCCCGACCGCGCCGAGTTCTCATACCAATTAGCGAAAAATGGCGTATTCAGGACTTATGTTCCCTTAAGAGAAGATCATGACAGTAACGGAAAATGAAATGGGCAGTCACCCACAACAGCTGTCAAAAATTAATCTTTTGCCAAAAATCGAACAAATTTGGACTACTAAAGAGGTGGAAAACAACGAGGAAGCCAGATTCCGCTTTGCATGGACCAAACTCGAAAGAGAAACTTCTACTATTCGCTAAGAGTTATTCCCCTGGTCCTACCATTTCTTCTTTTTCAGGAGTTCTGGCAAAGGCTAGGCAGTGGTTGCTAAGTGACCCACGCGGATGGGAGACAAAATAACGTTCTCGGACATCGAGCTTTTTTCTAAAGGGTTTCAATAAGATACTATTGTGATTTTTCCACTGACTCAAGGGAACCCATGAACGTGAATAAGGATCCCACTGGTATGGAAATCAATGATAATTGAACTGGTAGCGTTGAAATGAATCGGGACGAGGTATATACAAAGTATAACCGGGTAAGACCAAGCCGTGTAGATTCTAACAAGGTGAGGAAATGAGCATTTGTGGATTTAAACTAAGCATGAGGGGGTTGAGAGATTTATCATCTATCCACATCACAAAGTATGCCCTGGTACAGGTATAGTTTTTTACAGTACATGACCAGAAAACAAAACGAGGAAACCATCAGCTATTGATGGGCTTTACCATCAGAAGGAGGAATAGGGAAACATGGAGCGAAGTTACTTCAAGAGAAACCCTCATTGGAGTCAACCAGACACTCGGAATTCTACCTCTGCGATGAGGGGGTGGATGATCAGGA